CTAATTGGGACTATGCTGCTAACAGAACCACATTGCTAACAGAACCATGCTGCTAACAGAACCACGCTGCTAACGGGACCATGTTGCTAAGAGAACCACTCTGCTAACAGAACCACGCTGCTAACAGAACCACGCTGCTAACAGAACCACGCTGCTAACAGTACCACGCTGCTAACAGTACCACGCTGCTAACAGTACCAAGCTGCTAACAGTACCACGCTGCTAACAGTACCACGCTGATAACAGTACCACGCTGCTAACAGTACCACGCTGCTAACAGAATTATGCTGTTAACAGAACCATGCTGCTAACAGAACCACTCTGCCAACAGTACCATGCTGCTGTAGATGTATTTCTTTTTCACTGTTGGTGCCTTGTTTTTGTATTTTAGTTGCATGCTTTGGTATTTCTTGTTCGTGCTTTTTTGGCAAGTCGAGAACAGTTCTTCTCATCCTGAGCATTTCATTGCACTGCTGAGCTTGTGTTGATCTGTATTAAACCTAACCTGACCGATGTTTCCTTGTAGCTGGTACACACACATGATGATCTGGTACCTGGCCTGTTATCTGTGGGTGGGGACAGCAAGTCTCTCATCTGGGCATCTTTTAGTCCTTCAACCCACTGAACGTCCAGCGTTCGCAGGAGAGGACAGCTGGACGTGCAAAGAGCAGAGACGGCCACCCAGGAGCACCCTGACAGCAGCAACACACGCAGACCTGCAGGGAGAGAGATCCATGAGTAGAACGAGGCGGACCGAGACATGAAACAGCTCCTTCTGCAATAAAAGAAGCATTTGGAAGTATTTCAGCTGTAATAAAGTTCACAACATAACATTATATGCATCTTTTCAGGAAGCACATCCAAAATTTATAATAACAAATTTAAGTAGCACCACATATCTGACCAAACTTTCAGTGAAAGTTTAAACAATAATGTATAATATAATGTCCCATAATGGGACAGATCTGGTTGGCAGGCCGCAGACTGAAGTCTTCCGGATGGAAGACGAAACGTTTCTCCCTTAAAGAAACTGGTCCAGATGAAATGATTTAACCTTTTTTTTTTTTTTTTAAACAATAATCTCATCCATGCCTGTAACGTGATCTACACCTGCCTGGTTAAGTACTGTTGGATGTATTTTTGAAAGGAAAAGCAAAAAGTGCAGAAAGATACCAAAACTCTTAGAAACAGTACAATTACTCATTGTGTTTAAATGAACAACAAAGTCAGACTAAAGTAAGCCTCAAATTTATAATAGCCGTGATAAATACCATCCAAATACACAAAACTTCCCCTAAAAATTCACCTATTAATATTTCAATTCATCTTGCATACAAAAACAATCACATTCACGTTGTGCTGGTTGGATTTATTTACCAGGAAGCCTGTTGATGAGCCAGCTGAGCTGTTTCTTAGAAATGTTGGTCCAGCTGAGGTCCAGAGCTACTGGTTGTCTCCGGATGATGCCGCTCAGCATCAGAGGCGTGATGGACTTACAGCGGTTCAGACTGATGTGCTTCCAAAGTCTTTTGTCGCAGCACCTGGCGAGAGGCACAGCAGATACCGGTCACGGGAGCGCGGCCCGATCGAGTTCACGGGTTCTAACAGCTCGGCCTATCCGGTACTCACCACCTGTTCCACGTCCTGCACACCCGCATGCAGATGCACAGATCTTTGTGAGTCAGGTGACTGAAGACTTTCATCCACGTCTCTCGCCACATCACGTGCGCCTCGCCGTCGTTCAGCGACAACCTGTCAGGCGGGGGGCTGATGGGAGGGGGTCGGATCACATGACGCTCCATTTGAATGTATTTTGGTGGCGACCGGCGGGGGAGTGGGCGGGGACAGATCGGCGTGATCGGTGAGCTTCTGTTCCAGCCGAGAGGGGAGTAAGCCCGTGGCGTGCCGTACACCTCCCGCCCCCTGTGTCTCAGCCAGTCTCCCAGGTCACTGCTGCCATTATTAAGAGGCCATCTTGGCTTCTCGTCCTCTGTTTGGCCCTGAGGTTCTGGCTTTACTGGGCTGTGGTTCTGGTTGGTCAGACAGTCTTCTGTTTTCAGAGGCTGTCTGTGGTGATTGGAGACACCGTCCTCCGTTTTGAGGGCTCTACGGCTCTGATTCGTGGCCGAGTCTTCCGTTTTCAGTGGTTTACAGTTCTGATTCGTCACAGAGTCTTCGCCCTTCAGCTGCCTGCGATGATGAGCGGACACGTTGTTCTCCGTCTTCTCTGCTGCATGCTTTTTCAAGTCTTCACACTTGACCATCTCCTGGTTGGAGTCTTTGCTCGCCCCTTTGTTGGGAAGACGTCGACGCTGATGGCGAGCTTTAAGGTGAGTGGAGCTCTTCTCCTGGATGTCTCCCGACTCGCTGCTGGGTCCAGCTCTGGGGGAGTTGGAGGACGAATGATCACTTTCTCTGGCTGACGAAGTCCTCAGCAGTGGATTTATTAATAGTTTGGCTTTGTCCTCTCCACTACCTTCTTTTCGTTTTGTGACATTCTCGTCTTCCTCTGTATCCTCTTCTTGCACCTCATCATCATACTCACTTTTCTCTTTGAAATGTGTCCTGAACAAGGTTAACCCATCTTCTTCATGATCCTCCTGGTCCTCATCTTCGTCGCCGTGATCGTTCTCTGCCTTGATGTGCCGCAACAGCTTCAAACTGAACGGATCGTCTGGTTTTAACGGCTTTTTCTGGAAAAGAGTGAAAGAACAATAATTATGTTTTAAAGCAATCCCACTCAAATTACTAAGTATTTTACTCATAGTTTGCTAAAAGACAAACAGTTACACCAGCAAAAGCATGATCCCTTTTAACTTTTAGGCTTTAAAAGCAAATAATAAAAATTCTATTTGCATTTTACTTCATCAGATACAGGTATACGCTGCTTTATCGCTGCTTTGGTACATATACACCAACATAACATAATAACCACAAAACTGGTCATCATATACATTTTACTCCGACTCTGTCAAACAGCTGAATGGGTAACACAAACATGGCTCACAAAGTCAACACGATGCCAGTTTTAAAGTAAGAAATCATTAGGGACTGCCATTGCAATGCATAGGAGAGCGTTTATTTATTTATTTTTAATCCATTACTGTTAAGGCGGCCTGAACCGCAAAGTGTACCCCCACAAAAGTTAAATCAAAATGACAAGCTCAGTCTCAAGATTAGGTCTATTATTTGTATTGACAATCAGAGTTACCATGGCGACGTATTTTGCTAACAAAGATGCCATATTTCCCCATAGGAAATGAATGGGAAAACTCTCCTCACACTAACTGCTGCTGTCAAGTCACATGACTTACAGTGTGGATGCCACTGAAGAAAACAGAAACTCACTGTTGGATTTGTTTGAAACTCACAGAACGTAATCATCAGAGAAACGTCTAGAACCGATTTAACGTTTGGAGCCATTTTGATTCAAGATGGCTGCCACAGCTACCTCAGCATACACAAAATTGACTATAACTCGGCCATTCTTTGAGATAATGAGCTGAAATTCAGTATGGTTGTAGTATGTTCAGTCAGGTCATCTGGACAGTTTCTTTTTTTTTTTTTGTGCTGAAACGTTTTTTTTACCTTCAGATGAAATTCGATGTACTGGTAGCTGAGAGCAAACCCCAACACATATAAATCAACAATTTCAATCAGCAGCAACCTGGCAGTCCCCGTCAAAGTTTCTCCAAGAAATGTCTAGTTTTCTTTATCATTTAAAGAGGACTGTGCTGTACATTTGGTCATGTTTGCATGGAAAATATGTTTGAAGAAAATATGGGAACAACAGTTTGTCTTATTCACATCTTTTTTCTTTGTCATCTTCTCTGAAACTAAGGTCACTTTCTGAAAAGTTCATCGTTGACAGCAAGCTCTCTTTTTGCAAAATAAATACTGGATACATTATTTTAACCATTCTTGTATCAAGCTGTTTTGTAAGCTAGAAAAAGGCACATGTGGGAACATGTGAGATTTAACCAAAAACTAGGTTCTCAAACTGTGATTCAAGCACCACTGGTGGAGCTCAGGTTCCCTCTAGTGGTAATTTTAGTGTCAATTATCTGCTAGTCAAAAAGCAAGTTGATTAACTGTAATGGGCTAAAAAAAAACGGAGCACAATATAATATTGGCTCCAAATGAAATCTACTTGAAACTAAAATGTGGTGGTGTATATTTTAAGAGCCCCTGTGGAAAATGGAGTGGACAATGATAAACCAACATGTTAATGACCACTTAAAACAGCATCTGTGAAATCTTTAGAAAAGCTGGTAGCAACAAAAAGTGCAAAATACTGTACTTTTTACTGTATAAGTCGCACCTTTTCGCATAAATTAGCATGCCCTGCGACTTATCCAGCAAACTGACTTATTTGTGTGTTTTTTTTTCTCCCATATTTATAACCCAATTTTTGGCTGAGATCTGACTATTTTATTCATTCTGAAATAGAAAATATTGAACACTGCCATTTTCAACCTCTAAAGGGCGCGCGAGTTATATAGCAAGAAGTCAAGTGTCTCATTAATGGGTAAACGTGGCTATTAATGAGACACTTGGCTTGCCATACCAAGCCACCTTCATCTCCAGAACTCCTGGAGCAAATGTCAAATCAGCTGCATTTCGCCGAGCTACCCAGGCGAAATGCAGCCAATTTGACCATTAAAGTGCATTTATTAAGGAAAAGTGAAACCGAGACACCTTTACTATAATGTCGAGCAAACAAATAATTGTTTTTAAGTGGTTATCTTGTTAAATTTCGAAGAAATGCACAGCGAGTCATCCCTCTGCACGCTCCAGCAGCCGCAAATTGGCTTTTGAAATGCAGCTGATTTGACCGTCAAAGTGCATTTATTAAAGAAAAGTTAAACTGAGACACACCTTTGATATAATTTCGAGCAAACAAATAATTGTTTTTAAGTGTTAATTTTGTTCAATTCTTGTTAAAGTCCTCCCGTGCATGCTCACGCGGCTGCCATTTGGCAGCCAATCGATTTTTGGCACAACACCGGCCTACATTTCCAGGTGGCAGTGGTGACGCATAATAGATACGACGTATACGACGAAGTGACATTCATGTTTTTTCCCCACTTCAATAGATATATTTGGACTGATGTGACTTATACGGCGGTGCAAAGTCTACGGCAGCAAGTACGGTAGTCTGGAAATATGATTAGACTAAAGTTCAATTTGTGTCAAGTTATTGTGGAGCTGAAACTGCAATGTAAGCGGAAACGAATGCATGAAACCTTCACACACACAAGGGTTTGAGAATCACTAATATATTAACAGAATACGAGGACTTTGTGGCTTTTCTCTTTATTAAAACACCACAAGCAATCTTACATCGTCTGCCGTTTATAAAAACTATTTTTTTTTTTTTTTTTTGTAAACATGGACAGGAAAAACTGAGTCTCACCTTCTTTTTCACCATCACAGGTTCATCACTGGTGTCGAACAGTTTTCTTTTCTTTCTTAGCGGATTGTCGTCAGGTCTTGCTCGTGGCACGCTGTCCAGAGACAGCAGGGGGGGGCGTTTCTTCGGGGGCTCCTCGTCGCTCCTCTTAGAGACGACTTCCCGCTCTGCCTTTCTTTTCACAGCAGATGTGGTCGTCAGTGCAATAACGGGTGTTGGAGCCTCTGTGGGTGGGTCGGGCTCCTCTTTTGGATCCCGGTTCAAGCGCGGCTCTTTAAGGAGGGAGCCAGGGAGGTTTGACGCGTACTTGAATCCTGGCCCCCTTTTTTGCTTTGTGGCCAAAAGTTTAGAAAAACAGAGAGGACAACTTTATTTCTCTGGCTCAGGGATACGTCATTAAAGTCATCTGGTTAAGAAATTCATCAACTTGACAAAAATTGATGCTTACTTTCCCAGTTTTTCCTGCGTGGTTACACTTTGGACACTCCCAACAGTTTGGCAGCTCATCGTTGACTAATCCGGTTGAATCTTTGACCTGAACAAAACGATCACACACAGATTCGTAGACAGGAATTTGGCAGAAATAAGAAAGAACATCTCCTCAGCTGGAAGAAATCTTCTTATTAAAACTGAGCAGGTTACCTTGAGGCAGTTGGGATGAACAATCTCATTACAGATGGAGCACTCCATGAGCATCAGGTTAAACTTCTCCTCTTCATCCTCCACCGTGTCCTCTTTTCCAGCCTCACCGCAAATGAGACACACAGCTGTGTGGGGCAAAACGGGCTGAAAGGGGGAAAAAAAAGTAAAACGGCAACAAATCAAGTCAGGTAAAAACAAAAAGTTATTCTACAAGTCAGCCAACTTACTTACATACTGATACAATAAAATGTGTTATATTGTTTTGAGTGTATTTGCAGTAAGCCAGTATGGTGAAATGAGAGGCATAATCAAAGATTCATACCGTATTTTTTGGGCGCATTTAAAATCCTTTAATTTTCTCAAAAATCGACAGTGAGCCTTATAATCAGGTGCGCTTTATGTATTAATTCTGGTTGTGCTTACTGACCTCAAACTGATTTTATGTGGTTATTGTGAATGAGTTGAATAAAGTTGGACTTATCTGACCGTTTTGTTTCGCTTAGTGCGCCTTATGTATGAAAACAGACCTGTTTATTGACATTGCGCCTTAAAATACGGTAGTCCTCGCAGTATCAGTGAGCCCAATATCACAAAGTACTGCCATAAATTATATTCCTTTATATTTAGGACAATATAATTTTATGTTAAGCTAATAAATTTGGTCAAACCAACTGCCTTAATGTCCAGGTTTAAATCATAGTGATGACAGCAGAGAAAGTGAGAACAATAAGGGTTGCAAATGTAAAATATTAAGCAATATTATTGCACATTGCCAGTTTTTATGCAGCCCTAATTGCGAACAATTTCAACTCCATCAGCTTAATTTTCACCCGACTCAGAGATTTTGAGCAGTCAAAGAAAATTTTTCAATCTGGGATTTTTCTGCATTAATCTTGTTGTATATCTCCAAAACTTTGCTGCAGAAAAAAAAAAAAATCTCTATTAGTTATTTATCACCGATATATTATGCATCTCAATACATTGCAATGAGATTTGTCATTTATTAAAGACACATGAGCAGAAAAAAAAACACAATATGATTCAATCTTTAAAACTGCAGCTCTCCTCATTAATAAGACAATAATAAATCTAAACAGCAGAGCTTACAACCAGAAGAGTTGCAAGAGTCTTAAAGCCTACAAGAGATACATTCTTCAGACAACAACTGCAACTTTTCTGCCTTTTTTATTTCTATTTTCTCGTCTAATAAATAAATGGATCTGATAATATTGGTGCAAAGACGCAATAAACCAATACATATTTGATTTATTATAAAAACTGCATCAGTATTATCAATGTTACTGCTCCCGGTGCCCTCTACTGTATATTGTGTAATATGTTGTGAACATTTTGAATCGGATCATTTGTTTTGTGGAGGGTTTTTTTACCTTTCATGTTTTGTATCCATCTGTAATCCTGCCTCTTGACCAGATCACCACTGGTTCTCAGTTAACCCACTTGGTAAAATAAAGGCCAATAAATAATTGTGCACATGCATGTCTGTAAATCAGTCAAGATTCAGTTAATAGCCACAACCTGAACATTTATGTGTTGTGTTGCTCTTACTGGAGAAAATGTGTGACTAAACAGTGTCTTTCTCCCACCAGAGGATCACGGTTGTTGAGGTCTGGGAGTTAACAGGGAGCTTTGCATCAATCTCCCAGCAGACCACCATGAGCTGCATTAATAGTTGTGCTTTTGTAAAAATCTCACAATAAGGATTTGTTGGTAACTTGTTTGACCATGGCTCTTTGCTCCTAATTACTCAGTCAGATCCATAAAGTCTGTTATTGGTTTCAAATTTCTTCCATTTTAGAACGATGGAGGCCACTAATGCATCAGACCTCATTCTGCATGTAATAACAAAGGCTCTAAATATAAATAGCCATTTTTTTTTAAGAAAAGAAATTGAACTCTTTAAAAGCAAACGTTGACTTTTCCCATTGTAGAATATGATAAGAGCCACGATTAAAAGATGACAAACGGTTTTAAACCTTCTTAAAAGTGGAGCGCAGTCCTTAGAAAGCACAACATCACAACAAGCTAAGACCAAGTGGTGAAACATTCAGTGAGCTTTTATCATCATCATCATCATCATCATCATCTGTGAAGCATAAAGCAGCTCAGCTTCTCAACGCATCTCTGTCCTCGGTACTGAAACATACAAACAGAGCCTCGTGACCCACACTTCTGCTGCTGAAGATGCAAACTACCTTCTTCAGCACATGCAAAGACCTGGGTAAGAACATCTTTACTGATGCTACTGGGCAGCATAGTACAGCACTCAGTACAGCAATGCAATTCTTTAAAGCGTTCATATATTTACCTCACTATGGCATCAATACATCCTAAATAAAAGAAGTGAAAATAAGGGAAGGGTGAATTTTATTCAAAAAATAAAGTAGCAGTTAAGAAGCAATATAAGGCGGCATTACATCATACATTTATTGGAAAATGCATTTAAACGTATGAAAATTTGTAGAGTTCTGTCAAAAATTAAATGAATACAAAATATAAAGCAAGAGCCAACAAGTTTGTTTTGATGGACAGTCACAGCAGGAAACGGTTGTCCTCATTCTCCACAAAAACTAAATAAAGTAAACTAGAAATACATTGAAGGGATGCATAGACGGCTACCTTGTATGCAGAAGTTATAAAATGGTTGTTGCGTGGTCTGTTAACGCGCCAGTAATGTGTTGAAAATGACTCTCAGCAGCTACCGCTCCAAATGTTGCTCAACATCTGTAAAACCGAGTTGTACACATTTGTGTGTTGGTTAAAGTTGAAGCGATATAGTGGCCATCTTGAATCAACCAGTGATTACTATCAGAGCATTTCATTAAAGTGCCTCTGTTTGTGTAAGATATTTTGCTAAAGGACATTTAATTACACACACACACACACAATCACAAAGGTGCATGATAGTTGGCCTTATTGATAGAAACAGAGTTGTTGTGCTCTGTCTTCTACAGTGGCTGTTTGTGTGAATTATTTAAATAGCTACAAAATTACTGTAAATCTTCTCTCGTCAAACAGTAAAAAAGCAACCAAAAAGAAAAACGGCATTTCAAACATCCTGTACAAATAAACAGGTGTTTATGTACTTACAGCGATACACTGCCTCATGATGCAGGACTGCTTCATTCGCCCCGGCCCGCCAAACTTCTTCATGTCTTTGCAGAAGTGGCACTCTCCGCACTCCGTCCGCAGACAGGCCTCACACTTCCGACAGCGGGTCCTCCTCCTCCTGGCGCCAGATGTTCCCCGGCTGGCTGACAACTTGACTGCTGATGCAGGAGACGCTGCCATCTTGGGTTTCGGCCGGTTGGGAGGCCGGGGCTGGAAAGGACGATGAGGATAGTGTCAGGAGTCTTAAAAAAAATAAGATAAGCTGACAATTACTTTGCTTGTTGCTATTAAGTAGCCGCACAACATATTATCTAAACATAAGCACTAAAATTTTGTTTTAATGTGTCAATTTGAAGTGTAAAAATAAAACATTTCACCTGTACAAACATTTTAAGTTTAACTAGACCTAGCATTTGTTAAAGGAATGCACATAAATTCACAAGTTAATAAGCTACAGATCTAATGATTAATTAGTTTTATTGAGACCTATATAATGATCCATGAGATGTTTTGCTAACAGACAAACACACACATGGACACAAGCAAAAACAATCACCTTTGCATCATCGGTGGCATCAGATTTTGCATTTCCTTTGGGATTAATAACCAACCTACTTCCCTACCTATCATGAAAATTAGCATGCATGTTATTAGAAAGGAACTAACATTGGACTGAACATTAAGTAAAAATTAAAGGTACCACTTTACAATAAAGCTCCCCTTAAAGAGGGCTAATAAATAGTTTATAGATATGTTATTAATTCCTCTATGAACACTTTATAAATCATTAATAACTGCTTAATATGCATTAATAAAAAAACATTTCCTCACTGGCCCTGTAACGAGGCGCACGCATTTCTGCCCTCTCCCCGTTCTCCTCCTGCTTTTTTGCTCTCTGTCTGTGTATCGGAGCAGCTCCTATTTTTACGCATCTTCCGAAATGAAACTACGGTTTTGGATCTGGCCAACTGGACTTTTGACGCAAATGACAAAATCTTTTCAACAAAGCGACAGGGGCCTGGAGAACCCTAATCTGCTCGGACGACACGTGCAGTTGGACATATCTCTGCGTAAGTGGAATGTGATGCGTCTACCTCTGCTGTCGATCGAGTACGCCTGGATTTATGATAACAAGTTTCCCGTTTTTGGAATTGTCTGGATCCTGGTTTATCAACATACAAAGAAGACTGTAGCAGCTAATTTGGACCTCAACAGGCTGCTGCCTATGTGAAGGTTTGGTTCATGCTTTGAGGACTCAAAATCAGCTGATTTACGAGCTAAACCGTAAGATGGAAGTGATTTGAATCACAGGCCACCTGCAGCTTTGGGACTCGTCAGCATGAAACGACCTTGAAAAAGCTCATAAGCACGGCCCAGTAGAATGCACCCCAATCTGGTCATTTCGGACCTTGGAAGTACCAGTAAAGATTCAAGGCTGACTAGGAAAAATAGTCTGCCTGAATAAATCAAATATTGTGGCTTACCTGAATCTGACTCCTCGGTTGACCTCGGAACAGGCCGACCTATCAATTTCTCCTGGAAAATGAGTAAACTAAGGAAAAGCATCATCTATCACAATGCCCCCCCAACTTCTGTAGAGGCTTATCAGAACTGTGCCGGTTGCCCATCATCTTATCAGGACAATGGACTATTTGTTAGTGTTTCATGGACCGCCTCGTTGTAAAATGCATATGTAACATGTTCATAAATGTGCTGCTGGAAGAATTATTTTAATGTCTTAAATTGTGTCCCGTTAGGACAAGGTGTGAAGAGATCTATGTTTGTAATGCCACTATCCTCTCCTCAAGGCTTTGTCCCTTTTTCTATCTAAAAAATGTATTCTGAAAAGGATAAGAAGGCCGCGCTTTATAACGGCAGCTACGTGCACTCTGCCCAGCTTTCGGACAACTGTACGAACATTTTCTTGTTGCATCTCGGTACAATGATAACAAAGCTTATTCTGATTAAGGGTGACAGAGAGAAAATTATTTTATTGGCGTACAATATTATACTTTATCACTGCATTATAAGTATCTACAACTAATATTATATCCTGAAAAAATTAGGTTTACAAATACTTATTGTGCTCACAAGGTAGTAACTTAGTGTGAAATGTTTAATAGAACAACTCTAGATGAAATATATAGGTGAACAGATTTGGCTCATTATTTGGCAAGAAACTGTCACCCTTAATGAATGCATAATAAACAATTAATGATTTATAACTTGTTTATAGAGGAATTAATAACACATCTATAAACAGCATCTATAAGGGGAGCCTTATTGTAAAATGGTACCAAAATTAAAATAAAATATTCTTATAAATATAGCTAGCATATGTTTATTTCTTATTCTGCACATTTCATCTCAAACAGAATAACACGGACAAAGGCACAAAAGAAACATATGCACACAAAGCAAAGCTGATCAAAACCTGCTGGTTAGAAACACATTATTCATACCTACAGGACGGAGGACAAGAGCAAACAAATGCATCAAAAATGTCCCTGAAGGCGCCTTCCAAATTTAGCACCTCGCTGGCTTGCATTTCTCTTCTTGAACGAGAAGCTACACTTCTGAATACATTTCACACATGCCTACTGAAGACCCATTGTTCTGTGCTACGGAGCACACAGACTGACAGGGAGCAGTGCACATTATCAAATGTGCTCGACTTAAAACAAGTGGGAGATTATATGTCTTTGACCAGCATCGTTACTGTGTGAAACGTTCCCTCGCAGGCTCAGAGCCAAACTACAGGAAAGTGTTTTTTTTTTTTAATGCACAAACGGCAACATACTGCCAGCCATCACACATGAGACAATGCACATCAGAGAGGAAGATGAAATAAACCAGAGCAGGAGGTGAAAGGCACTGCAGCTCTTGGAAATGAGGCTTTCTTTAGTTACATCGGCAGTGCAGATTTTCCTGGTGTCAGCATAGCAACAGCCACATCCCATTCCCTAACAGAACAGTGTATGACACACACATACTTGTAACCAATGAGCACTGTAACGGCAGCCTCTAACACAGACAAATGTGAGTGTGCGTGAAATCTTTTGGCCTATTACAAAAAAATCTCCCAACAATAAACTGATAAAATAGATGTTGTGGTTCGCACAGACGGGATTAGAGCGTGTTCAATCTGCACTGGGCTATTCTGGTGGGGGTTCGTGGGGATTAACGAGAGGAGGAATGCTGAAATGACACCATATAAGCCATCGCATCCTGGGTTTTACCATATCTGGAGGAGTGTCCAACAACAAGTTCAAATGAGTGACTAATCCCAGCAAATAACAGGGAACCAGACAGCGGAATGTTTGTGTTAATGCTCACCTTCATTAAAACTACAACTGCAAGAGACAAATATTTTTAAAAAGCTGAATGATCCCTTTAACCTCCTGTCCACACCCCCCACTGGCAGATAAGAGGGTGATCTCTAAAGAAGCTATCCCTCTGGAACACAGAAACAAATAAAACATCCTGACGACGACAAATTTTCAGCTCCAATTAGTTTATTTCTAAAGACAAGAGTCGTTCCAAGCTGTCAAATATCGACCTCACTCCATGTGCAATATACATTTGCCATGTTTGAATAGCACAAATAATTGGCAAACAACTTTTAAAGCTCAGTCAAGTGTTAAACTCGCTGAAATTAGCAAGATCTATTAAACGCACGCTGAAGACGACGCATGATGAACACAGATTTTGTCAAAGCAGGAGGAAATAAATTCTTTGATAGCAGCAATACTGGCATCTGAAGTCTTTAATGATATTTTAATTATCCAAAGTCAGTATGAGGAAAAAGTATATTTTTCTAGAAACAACTGCCTGAAGAAAAAGAAGTCAAAAGAAAAGTGTGAACTACAACAGAACCTCCTGTGTCTTAAAAACACGTAACCGTGGTAATAAAAGTCAAACACTAAATTAAATGACAGGTTGCTCAGATTGATCCTCAACTGCTGGCATGTTTGGCTACAGGGACAATATTTTAACATGTAATTGGCTCAGTGTGGCTTGTAGCATCACATGGAGCACATGTCAGTGATGTCCACACACACCGACTCCAAAAACAGGTGTGTCAGCATGACTGGAATAAAACTTAAAAACAGTCGTCTGATGGACTCGATTATCTGCTTTCAGTCAAACGTTTAATGTGAGGAGGTGTGGCTCAAAGGTAGGCAATGTGGTAGGAGAAATTATTAAAATTAAAACAGACTAATCACAGCTGCTGCTATTTTCCAATTTAAAAATGTGTCATAATGTCCATTTAAAATAAATAAATCATATTAACATTTTCTTCTGTTTCTTTTTAATGAGCATGCCATACTTTAAAAAAATATTATACAAAATTAATCGGCATCTTGGCATGATCATAAGAAAGTCCTAATATTAATAATAATAATAATAATAATAATAATAATAATAATAATAAAATGATTGCCTCGTCCTAAACAGTCGTGCGCCCCGTGTCACACAAACAGCAAACCTTTAAAACAGACTAAAATCAGAGAGTGAGCATTGAGAACAGACTAAATCAATGCTTTTGTCTCAAGGTAGCTGCCCTGTGATGCACACAATAATAAACACCAAACATTCCTGTGGTGGCGTCGCCGCTCCTGCCCTGCTGGGTGTCAGTGTGCTAACCTGCTCGGAGTCTGAGTCGTAGTCCTCATCATCAGCGCTCAACGACATGGCCATGGCTTGTCAGATATCGTCCAGCTCACAGCAAACTGACATGGCTGCAGTCTCCTCCTCCTCCTCCTCCTTCTACTCCTGCTACTTCTGTCAGGCCTACAGCCCTCCCTTTTGCTCCAGAGCTCCACAATACCACAAGCAGATGTAGAAAGCGCATACAAGCCTGTCTCGTTAATATGAAATGACTACCGGGGTGTAAGGGGGCGTTGCTGGGAAGCACAGAGCCAATAGCAGGTGGCTTAGCATCAGAATATGCACGGGGGGGGGGGGGGGGGGGGTTCCATCCAATGAGGACAGAGCAACAGCGAAAGTGTCATCATATTTATTATGAGCATCACAAGGAGAGGAGAGCAGCCTCTGCACGGCCAACAGAGCCAGATGGCATCTCATTACAAGAGACGAGCACAAAGAGGCCCCGCGACCAGCAGCTGGTCTTTCGAGGGACGAGTGGGGGTGAACCAAGGGCCTGATGAGAGTGACCCACACAAGCTTCATTTTTATACATACTCATGACAGATCTCATTCTCAAACCTCCTGTTGACGAGTTCTAGCCTCCTATAAGGTGCATATTTCTTTGCACTGTAAAGTTGTTCATTAAAATCTACAAAAAAAAAAAACCGAAAGCGCTTGCTACTTTGTTTACATTTTGCAGATTAGCTAAATCTGTGATTCTCACACTTATGACTCAGATCAAGGGTGCAGGAACATCAAAGCCACTTGAAACCTGCCTGTGTTTACAGCTGATAAAACCATTTAACACGTTCATTATCCAACAGGGCAGCAAAAGTCCCGTTTGCTCAAAGTGGTTTCTAGATAATGAACATTTTTCCCTGAATGAAAGATATATTTCTGGAAAGCAAAAGAGCAAATTAAATGCAGAATATTTATGATCAACCATGAACTTTAGTAAAGGTCTTTTTTTAACACTCAAGTCGGTCTGTGATGAAAAATTAAACACACAGGCAGGTGGAGCTTACAAGTACATGTGGATCTGCTCTGACAGTGTATACGATATAGCTTTAATTCATAATAAAAGCACCTAATGGTCAACAGAAAACAGGACACAAGAAACTTGTTTTGAGCCTGAAGATACAGCAAAGCAGGCAGTTGTATAAAACATTTCTATAGAGCTTTACAAAAAAAAAAACATTTCTTTAAAATTCAAATTCCTGATTTATAATAAATCGTTTCACCATAATTACACTCCTTGGCAGGTCCCATACTAATATTGCTATTCACCACACATCAGTGGTTTCATTATCATTAGTATTCAAATAAAGAACCAACGATTTGAAAGGTTAAACTAAGTGTACAGAAGATCATCTACAAGTATACAGGGGGCTGCAACCTGCAGCTCTGGGGCCACATGTGGCTCTTTGATTCCGCTGCAGCGGCTCTTTCAGGCTTTGACCAAAACCAACATAAAATTGATTTTTATTTAAATTATTGCCAACAATGAAAATGGCTAGTTTTAGCAGATTTCCTGTCATTTTCAAATATGTGAAGGATAGTACAAATACAAGGCATAAACCATGTGGACTACAAATTAAATGGTAACCAACCATAGTCCTTGAGGAATGCCATTCTGCATGTTTCAGTCATTTCCCTGCTCCAACACACCTGATTCAGTGATTTTATTACTTAAAGTTTTGCCAAAATCTGTTAGTCACCCTTTCATTCAAAGCAGGCATGTCAAAGCAGTGAAACAACTAAAACATGCAGGATGGTGTTCCCCAAGGACCAGGGTTGGGAACCACTGGACTATATCATGCTAGTATTTTGTTAGCCACTTTAAGTCAACTTCCAGTCTCACAGCGTGATCATTCTCTCAAAACCACCAGAATGTTTTGGAATATCTTTAAGACAAGCTGCTGAGAAGGAATATGAGTAACTTTGATAACACCAAGAATAAAACACAAAAAACAAAGTCAAAGTAAACAAAAGTATTTATTTTTCTTTAAAAATGTAACTGTATATGCAAAAAAATGGCCTAATTTTATTGCATTTAACTTTATGCGATACTTAATTCTTCAACAATTAAGAGAACTCACATCGGCCTGCAGAGTTCAGTGTTTTAATTTTTATAATATGTTAAAAATTATATATTTTTTCTTTCTTTACATGAATATGGTCTTTTCTTTTGTAAATGAAAAAATGTCAATAAATGTTAATAATAGTAAATCATTTTTCGTTTTATAATATCACTCTCACTGGCCAGACAAGCCATTTCCAACAAACTTGTAGTGGCCCATGAGCCACCAGTTGACAGTACAGTTGTAGCAGGTTTTGCGGCTCCAGACATCGTAATTACTGTAGTAAGCAAAGTGGCAAAAATGGCTCTTTTTATTGCAAAGGTTGCAGACCCCTGATCTATATAATCTATAAAGCACAACCTGAAATATACATGTATATATTTTATCAGTTGCACATGAACACATTTTGGAAACGCAAAGGAACACACAGGTTGTTACCTTTATACTTTTCTTTGGCCAGAACACCACAGGAATTCCAGTGATCGCTAACTTTGGGTCATCATCAGCATGTTCCTTTAACACAGCCTAAGCAGCAGGAAACAACAAAATTTAATAAATAGACGTGCAATACTTCCACTGAATTCTTTATAAATAAAATTATTTTGATAACTTTTCCTTTTGTTTTTACCTTCATATCTTCCAGGAGAGCTCGAGGGTTCTCTATTCCCACTGGAGCACATTTCTTATTTTCAGGCAGCGACTCCAGCTTCTCGATGAGTGTCCTGAGTCCGACCAGTTCAAACTGGGTCAGATGAGTCCATCTGCTCTGAGACTCTGAGGCTGGAGAGTCCAAGGGGGTTTTAGGGAACTCCAACGAGGTGCAGCTGGGGTTGCAGCTGTCCTCAGAGTCAACAGATAAAACGGATTTGAGGAGAGGGGCCTTAACGCTGTCAGGTGAGCAGGAGCCATCCTCAGCTGCTCGGTCAGATCGTTCCTCCTGGTCGTCCCTGACTTGAGTTCCACATGAATCCTCGTTTGTGTCCTGACTTACGGAGTCAGAAGAAGGGCTCTCCGTCTTTGTCTTTGGTTCATCATCTGGAATGATGAAATGGGACAAAAGTGAGTCACAGTTAAGACCATTTGAAAATTCCCTTTACTTTTGCTGAACATGTTGCTGCCTTGTTTTCTTTTCTGGAGGGTGGCAAAGAAACTGGTCCGACAAACAAAGCTCTTGATTTACTAGTCCATCCACGTTACAACCCTCACAGATGATCATGAGACATAGATCATGACCAAAAGTGGAAAATTATGAATACATGCAGCAGAAATTGGCTTACTCTGCCGGGCTCAGGCTGAGACAGAGTGAAAAGTGAAGTTTAGATGTCCAGTTCTTGTCCTTGAAGGCTGCAATCCTCCATGTTTTAGATGTTTCTCTGCTTCGACCGCTGAATCAGGTCTGCCGGAGCAGGGAAAGAACAAAAGCATGCAGGATGGTGGCCCATGAGGACCAGGACACTGAGAGGAGACTCTGAGGAAGACCCAGAACCAGCTCCTCAGGAGGAGCTGGAGAGTCTCACTGGGGAGTGGAACTCCCGGGTCGTCTCTGTGACTAAGAAAATAATGGATTGATGAAAACATAAAGATCTGCGCTCATACGGTCAAGAACTTTTTATTTCTTTTAAGTTGGCACAGTTTGTTGCCGTGTTCACAAACACCATCCGCTGGGGAAACTACGGAGAAACGCTGTGTCCTTGAACTCAGAGAAAACAATTAAACAGTAAAGTAAAATCTGATCCGACGTCTGTTCACTGTAATAAAAAGAGAAACCAACCAGCTTCTTACTGGGTTTATAGAATGGAAATATCAGGAACTATGGTGACATGAAATATTTCCATTGCATTTCCCAGGCTTTAAATCCAAAATGAGTTTTTTGTCCATTCTTCACAGGTGTCAAACTCGAGGCCTGTGGGCCAAATGTGGCCCTTGTTAGCATCTTATCTGCTGCCCCAAGATGAGACTTTCAATATAAAATACTTTGATTGCTTCTCATTTTGCTTAAAAAAAAAGCTGATCATACTTCATTTAGTGCAGATTTCTCATGACATTTGGCTAACTTTGAAGCCAGAAAAAATGTTACATTTTCCAGTATTGTTTGATTTTGATGTGGAAAGAGCAACAACCAAGAAAAGGTGTTGAGTGTTTGACTTGAGTTAATGTATCGACTGAAACTGGCCCTAAGCTTGGACCAAGTTTTTAATTTTGTCCCCCTTTAGTATCCGAGTTCGACACCCCTGCAAATTTAAAACTTTTATTTTTATGTTTGACAACCCTGATTTTTTGAAAATGGGTACTTCTTGCTCACCTACGGGCTCTTTACGGATCTCCTGGATGAGGAAGGACCTCTTGGTCAAACAGTTCAAATATCGCTCCAGGACGTACCAGCACATCTCGTAGTAAAAAGGAAAACGAAATTTGGAATGAACCTGAAGACAAAAACATTTGTAGCTACATTAGCTAAAATTTGCTAAACACTGCTGACTTTTTATGCCAATAATGTAAATGCAGTTTGGTAGAAAAAAATGGGAAATTGTTGGCAAAACTTGATTTTTTAGCTAAGAAGATGAACTTCTTACATTTACAAATTCTGAACTCTATTTTTTATACGAGCATGCACACCAGAGACTTTCAACAATAAAATAAATCCCTCACATCAGTGGAAAGGATAAGAAATAACCATAAGCAGCAATAGGTCACACAGTCGTTCAAATACATTTCAAAAGCAACAAAAAAATAAAAGAACAACTAAGCTGCTTTAGTGTAATATGTTTTATAAATATGTTTTAATGTCAGTAAAATTTTTAATTTGTAACACACAAAAAAACACTATTGAACCCCCCAAAACACGACAAGAAGACTTTGTGAGCCACTCATTTTTTAAATGATAAAATTTTACCTTAGTCCGGTTTTCTATCTCGTGGATCATAAACTGCATGGGAATGTTAAAGCTGTGCAGGATGTTGCCTCCAAACACCAGTGTGTCCGTGGGAGTGTAGACGGCATGAATCCATCCTTTAAAAAGGGAAATAAACAAAGATTAGTGTTTAAAAAGATTTAAATGAATTCTCTTTATTCAAGTGGTAGCTAATCTGTTGTTTCGTTTTCTTTACGTAGCGTTGCAGACGCACCAGACGGTATGAAGAAGGTGCATCCTTGTTTCAGCTCGACTCTCTGGCAGCCGTCAGCTCGGTCTCCCAGGAAGACGTCACTCTGCTTGCCTGAAAGGACCCAGTCCTCGTACAGAGCAAGGTTGTGTGGGGTCGGAGGCACGAGCCAGAACACCTACCAAAACAACAAAAAAAACGTTTTTTTCAAATTCAAATCAACTGAGACTGGAAGCGAGAACTTTCTTCATAGCAAACTATTTTTCTGACGGTTGATCTATTAAAGCTAAATGCAGATTTAAAATGATCAGCTGGTGTGATAAAACAGAATGAACTCACTTTCTGCCCCTTGAATACGTGATACCAAACTGAAGTTCCCCCAAAATCAACGTGGAAGTCTGTATAGCAGCCTTTCACACTCATCAAACAATACCTGTAAAACAGAGCAAACCTTTTAGACCGACACCCAGAAACAATAATAACTCAGCTATTTAAAAAGCAGCAATAACTCCTGCTGATCACGAACACACAAAATCAGTCACAATCTCTTTTCTACAAACTACCTGAAGGGTGGTTCGCACCTCGAGAGAGAAAGTATTTACGCATTAAGCAGCTTCAAATAAATCGTTCCTTTAACGTGAAAAATAAAAACGGGGAACATTTGTCACGCTGCGGAGCGTTTCAGAGAGATAAAGGGACAGTGGTGCACATAAAATAAATGTTTGTTTACCAACTTTCATG